GGGGGCGAGGAGGTGGCCCCGCTCCCAGCTCCGCCAGCTGCTCGCCCAGCTTCTCGGCGGCCCCCCGCGCGCCCGCCTCCTGGCGCAGCAGGCGCTGCGCGGCGGCGCCTGCAGCGGCGGCGGCGGCGTGCACGGCCTCCGCCTCCGCCCGCGCCGCGCCCAGCGCCGCGGTCAGCGCCGCGTGCGCGGCCGCCACCGCGCCGGGGTCTAGCGTGCTGCGTGCCGCCTGCAGCGGCACGCGCGCCAGCGAGGCAGCCGAGGCCGCGCTCTCCTGCCGCGCGGCCTGCGCGGCCTGCAGCAGGCGCAGCAGGTCCTCCGGCGCGACAGGGGTGGGGCTATCAGAGCGGCCGTCGTTGTCGCCGGGGGCAGGGGGGTTGTGATAACCGCCGGGGCCGGGCGCACCATGCGGCGCGCCGGGGACCGCTGTGCCAGGGCCCCCAGCTCCGGGGGCCCCTGACCCGGCGGCGTCGTCCAGCAACTCGTCAAGGGCGCGCCCGGCGGCGCTGCCAAACACCTTGCGGTCGCGCCAGACGCCGATCACGCGGCGCACGCGGCCGGCGGTGGCGGCGTCGGCCCGGGCCAGCATGTGTCGCAGGGCGCGGGGGGCCACCTTCAAGAATTCAGAGGCAAACTCAGGGCCCTTGCGCCGGCTGCGGCAGGGAGGATGGTACCAGTGATGAGGGCAGGGGTGAGAGGGGTCTGCGAGGTTTTGGTGCAAGGGTTGCTGCTGGACGCAGTGCATGCAAAGCTAACTCGTGCAGAGCGGCGGGCATGCATGTCCAAATCGCAAGGCAGGCAGGCACAGAAGGGGGCACCAAAGCAAGCCGCACTCCAGGCCGCAGGGAGCCTCTCTAGCCACCGACGTCCCCTCTCAACAAGCAAACCTGTTTTGGATGATGTCGGAGGCGAGGTACACGAGCGCGAGCCGCTTGGGCTGGTCCGCCTTGCTGAACACCTCCTCCCACACCACGGCCACCCGCTGTGCATGTGCCCGGTGGTAACAGACCCACGTGCTGGTGCCCTCGATGCTGGCGGATGAGCTGTTCAGCGTCCTCAATTTGTCTGCGCCAGGGATTGGGAAAGGGACTCGTGAGATCCGGGCCACCGGAGCAAGTGGTCAAGGCCGATGGGCTTGTCCGAATACGCACCTCGGAACACCGCCTCATTCAGCTCCATGGCGCGAGACGAGAGGTCAATTCCTCCGCGAAGTCTGAAGTGATGCTCGCGGTGTACCAAAGAGCGTGCTTGGGGATGCCATCTCAGATCTGAAACTCAGTTCCTCAGGCCATTTCCGTGCGCGCCGAGTGTCGTTGTCGAGATGCCGTTGATTTGGGGTACACAACAGGCGCATAGAGAACCGCATGCATGCATTGCATCTCCAGTTAAGTAATTGTAAGACTACGCTTCTGAATTACATCAATCTAACGAAAGCGGAGGCAGGGGGACTCAACTTTTGACCTTCCCGGCACGGGATGTCGACAGGGATATCATGCAGACCGTCGGGGGCACGCCCCGCATTCCGAACGACTCTCCCAGAAACAAGACTGTCTCGTTCTGCAGTCTCATGGGGTCGCTCCCACTCCATGCCAGCGCTCCCCAGGGCTGCCAAGGGTGACGGCAGTGAGCCAAACCATGTCCAGGAGGAGCTGGTTTCCCAGATCCAGAGCGAGATCGAGAAGAAAAAGGCAAGGGCGAACGTGGTCTTTGTGTTCATCGAATTTGAACGAGCACCTGCTCCTCGGAGGTACAGAGCTCTTGCATGTGCAGTGCCTCATCACTGAATCCGCCGGCCGCAGGTGGACAAGGAGGTGGATGCGCTCGCCGATGACATGCGTGCAATGGTGGAAAGAGTGAAGGAGGACACCGACTCCAGGTCGCGGCAGTACATGCAGGAGTCCATGGACGTCATGGATAACAAGCTGGTGGGTCTGGTTTGGGAAGAGGGGAAAGCAGGATGGCAAGATCTCAGGCCACACATTGTCATCCTCTGCTTGCTCCCCTTTCTGTGTGGTGTTGAGGCCCGGCAGTGCCTGGTGCCGACCTCACACCCACCCCCTCCCTGCCCGCAGACCGACCTGATGGCTGAGCTGGACGAGTACGAGGCGGTGCTCAAGCGGTCCCGGCAGGAAAGCGCAGAGAACGCCCAGGAGCTGTCTGAATGGAAGCGGGATGTCGCTCGCCGGAGGTCGAAGGGCCACTTCTTTCAGAGCCTGTACACGGTAGACAAGGAGGATGAGGAGCGGCCCCGCAGGACCGAGGAGGGGAGCAGGAGTCCAGCCGGCGCAGCAGGCCGCGCCGACTCAGGGCGGGCCAGTGCAGAGGCCATCCAGGGCGTCGCAGCCTCTGCCACCTCCCAGTCCCTCTCTCGAGGGCTGCTGGTGGCGCTGGGGTCTGTCCTCCTGGCCGTGGTGATCGGCGACCTGCTCAGCGACGACCCCAGCGCCCGAGCAGACGTCCTCTACACCTGCCTGGCGGGGCTGGCATTCTGGCTGGCCTGGAGGGGTGTTCAGACAGGCAACTGAGTGGAGGTGCTCCTAAATGCATGTAATGCCTCCACATGCCCCCCTGAGCAATCAGTCCTGTACACCTCGGAGATCCACGAAGCCAGGATGCGAGCTATCCCGTCACGTGCTCTAGCCCGAGTACTCGTTCGACTGCTCGGCGCATGCGACCACCCCAGGGCATATCCTAATCCTTGCATTCCTCTTTCTCAACCCGGATCCCGCGCATCGAGATCTGCGCAGCCTGGGCACTCGAGGGGCATGGTCAGCGGCATCACCCCACCCTCCACGAGGGCATCCGTCATGGTGCCGCCCGGTGCCTCCCCGCCCTCCCGCTGCGTGACCCCCGGATCCCTGCCCTTCCGCCCCGCGCACACTCGACCGGGCCAGTCGCACGCCAGTCGCCCGGTCACCTGCCAGGGCGCCAGCACGGCCCCTGCCAGAACGGGGCTGGCTACACCGGATGACAGCCCCACCCACTTCCCCCGCGGGAAGCACTGGCAGGTGGGAGGAGTGGCACATAGGGGTTTGGGGGGTCATAGGGTGCTGGGGTTGGGGGCGCTGTGTTGTTGCACTGCCCCCTTGCCAGCCTCTGTTCTCCAAGGGGGGCGGAGAGGGCAGGGGTTGCAGTGGGCCTGCGCCACCCCTGGCAATTGTCCATGCACAGCCTCTTGCCTCTGTCATGGTGCAGTGTATGCTGAAGGACGTAGCAATGCTCCGCCCAGGCTTGCAGGCCCGGGCACTCCAGAATACTCCCCAACACCCCCAAGCGAGCCCCCCCCCCCCCCCCCCCC